GAATTTTTAAACTACTAATTTTGACTGATGGTGGCTTGCTGACGTGAGTGAGAGAGAGAGAGAGAGAGAGAGAGAGAGAGAGAGAGAGAGAGAGAGATCTGATCAAACCTCTCTCCTTCCCACTCTCTCCCCCCCTCCCTCTCTTTCACACACACACACACACACACACACACACACACACCGAGGCAGGGATGGGATTCAAATTTCTTAACAACCAGTTCTGTGGGTATGACCTAATTTGAGGGTGTGGCTTGGTGGTCATGTGACTGGCTAGAAATAGCTTGTATGTAAATAGTATAAATATTTATATAAATATTGAATTTTTTATTAAAAAAGAGCAACTTTTACCCCAAATCAGGCAAAGCAGGCAGGCAGATTGAGTTGCTCACAGAATTACAGATTCATTCAGAGATCTGTGAGATCAGCCATCTGAGCCTGTCACATAAAATTTGCTTGCAAGCAAACTCATAAAATTAACTCATAACACACCATGTATGTAAATATTGAATTTTTTATTTTAAAAAAGAGCAACTTTTACTAAAAATCAAGCAAAGGAGGCAGGCAGATTGAGTTGCTCGCAGAATCACAGATTCACTTAGAGAGATCTGTGTTTCTGCCATCAGCTATCTAAGTCTGCAACTGAATAGAACCTTCAGTCCTAAGGGAGGTTCGGCTCTGCTTAAAAGCAGAGCCAAAGATCTAAAAATTAGTTAGAAAGCAAGAAATCCAATGATTTTCTGCTTTCTAGCTAATCTAAATCTTCCGCCACAGCAGAACAGCTGTTGGTCAGAAATAGGAAAAATAGCAACTTAGCAGGCAAGTTTGCCAGGTAAGGAGTGAGTGGGCGGGATGGGTTCCCGCAGCCTTGTGTTCCTATATAGCCTAGATTAATTGCTCTGGGAGTGACATTTCTCTGCGGACCACCAAAATTTTCTTGCGGCCCACCGGTTGGCGATCGCTGGTCTAGAATGCTTCAGCTAGGCTGTGACATATCATCCCTAGCTCTGCAGGCTAACTGTAATTCTCAAATTGTTGCATTTGTTATCAATTTATTTCAGGACCCAGTTGAGAATTGTATCATCCAAGAAATGCTTTAGTATTACTGGGAAAACACACATTTTTTGAATAAAAATATTTTGCCTCTGAAACCTGCTTTAATATATAAGCACTAAAGTTAACAACACAAAATTCAATTTTAGCATTCATAGCAAAAACAAATTCTATAGAACTTAATATGTAGCACTGCAAAGCTATATGCAAGAATAGCATCAGGATACTATCTTGAGGCCATCCTGTCAAGTTGAATACTTGGGGAATACCGAGCTGGAGATCTTAAAACGACTTGCTGAAAAGTCTTCTGAGATGATTTATGACAAAGAGAGAGAAGAGTTGAATTTTTTGTTTGTATTGGATTTTATTTAAATTGAGTTTTTGTAATTTTGTTTTGCACTATTTATCTTTATTTTTTGAGCTACTTTTTCCTAACTTTAGCTTGAAGGTCAAAGACTGCTCATTCTTAAAGCATATTGCAGTGTTATGAAGTATTTATTCCACTTCATAAAAACTACAGTTCATGTAATGGGTCAGTTATTCAGTACCTTCAGGTGAAATAATGGACTTTTAATGTAAAATCTTCCCTCTAAAAAATCTGGGTTTTTCCAGAAATTCAAAGAAAATGTGCCTCTCTTATAATATCTCCACATTTTCAGGTAATGATTCATTCTGTATGATTCAGTTTGATAAATATAGCTCTGTCTCTATTTTATTCATAATTATTTCATCAATAATCAGACAAGATTACCTACCTTTAATAATTGCCTAAAATAGAATACTTTAGGTAATTTTTTCTAGCCATGAGTACTTTCTTTGCCAATGAAGACTTAATTACCAAATTTGTGGTGCTTGTCAATAGTGTAGAGGAGCAGTCCCCAACCTTTTGGGCACCAGAATGGCAGTTCCATGGAAAGTTTTTTCCATGGATTGGGGTGGGTGTGGTTTCTTGTGCAAATGGAGCCTCATTTGTTTGCATGACCCAGCCACTGGCATCAATTGGCCTGGTGCTGATCCACGGACCACGAATTGGGGCCCCTGGTTTAGAGCATTTCCAAAGATAATTAACTGAATGTATGGAAGTTCAGGCTAAAAATGGTTTGTCTTCTTGATGTCTGTTTAACTATTATCTGCTGGGAAATGAAAGGAAGTCTTCTTGTCAAATTTTATGAATCTTCCCATGTACATATCTGGCTGGCTATTATAAAATATTAAACAGAATGGAGATAGCAAAGCTTTTGTGCTTTGCTATTATTCATGTTCTTCTGCTGTGTATAAGGGAAAAGGGTACTATTTCAAGACTGTTTTCCAGACTGTATACAAATATGATGGCACAAGCCTGTTCCACTTGCTAACTGGCATCCTTCCAGTGATACAGGTTGGAAGCAAAAAATGAGACATCTGGATATGATCCTCTCCAGTTGAGAGACAGAATATATATACAGTGTACAATTTGTGCTTCTTTTCATGCTCAGTATGTCATGTGTTCTTTCCACAACCTCACATAAATAGGAAAATAGGAAAATGGCAAGAAGAACTGCTTTTGTTAGTGTTCATCACAGCTTTTAAAGGCACTAAAAAAAATACTTGAAGAAATAATGTTGCCACTGTCATATTACTTCGTTAGAATATTAGAAAAATCACACTTAGAAAATCATATAGCAAAGTTATCTAACTGAAACAACTTTCATAATTTCCAGCTTTCAAGGCACTTTTGCTACACAGAATTGATTTTCCTTCTGTCAGCATGAGTTTGGTGGACAGAATTTTGTGTTGGGTATGATATATATTGATATATCTTGGTATGAATGTTATGCTTCCCAAAATGAAAATTTGAGTTTTTCAGGACAAATCAAATGCTGCCAAGTCAGCTAGTTTATGAAGCATATCACCAGTCTCTCTCACACCCACACACCAAACTTGGCTACTTCTTATGATGAATATTCCCCTCCCCATTATATTATTGTCTCATCTCCATGCATTTCCTGACATCCCACCCACCTTCTCCCTAAATCAAATCTGAAGTTCCTCCCTATAGCATTGCTATATGTCAGATTACCTCCTTCCTCTTTTACTTAACTCAGAAACTCCCCGCTTTCTACTCGCCTGGTTCTGACACCATCCTCTGTTTTATTATCATTGTTTCCATCTGAAACAGACTGTTCCATTCTTCCATTAATTAATGCATTAATTTAACATATGTTCCCATCATTTTTCAGAGGCTGTTCCAATGTTTTCCACATACGAAAATCAAACAATATTGTTATATAAGGAAAATTCACAAATGCATCATCCAATTCATTGAAGATGCCCCACTAATTTGAAGCAACCAAGTGGATTCTGAAAAGAATAACAGCCATTTAGTGCACTGATTAATTTTCTGATCTCAGCAAAGTTACACACTATTTAAGCCTTGTACAAAAAAATGACAACAAAAATCTTAGATACTTAGAGCATCTAATATAATTGGCTAGATAACTGATTCAACTGCTGCCAAAAAAAACACAATCTAGCTTCTAAAGTCTGCATTATGAAGCACAAATATGCAACCTTTATATTTGCCTAAGGAACAGAAGATGAAATACAATGTTTCTTCCTACTTTTTATTATTCAAATTCCTGTACTGATCATTCTAAAGATGAAACAGTGTCAGCTTTAGCTCTATCAATATTTATCTATGTAAGTATTTGTGATATGACCATCATATCATCCAAGTGAGGCTATTGAAAACAATGTGGTTCCTTTAATGCAGGGGTCCCCAACCACCGGGCCCCAGACTGGTACTGGTCCGTGGAACATTTTCTACCGGGCCGCCGGTTTGCTGGGCACCGCCATCTTGTTTTGATGAGAAAGTGCTTCCGGTGAGCTTTTCCAGTTGGAAAGCGGCGTTTGGGTCCTGAAGGAATCCTCCGCCTTAGTTTCATCGAAGGGGGGGCGGCTTCAAACAAAACTAAGGCTCAAAGATTCTTTCAGCACCCAAGGCAAGGAGAGCCGAGCGACCGTTCCGAAGCCGTCCCGAAGCCCATCAACAAAGGTACAAAGGAGGAGTTGAAGGTGGCAGGGAGAAGTGGGGGACGGCTGGCGGGCTGGTCGCTCAGCTCGCCTTGCCATGCGTGCTGATGCTGGTACTGGGTCACGGATCATTTTGTGATGCCGGTACCGGGCCGTGGCACAAAAAAGGTTGGGGGCCACTGCTTTAAGGAATCAACTTTTTAATTACTATTAAATATTTTTAAAAGAATATACAAGGAAAAATAATGAAAAAATGAAATAAAATAGCAATGTTCAAAAAATAAAAACAATTTTTATAACCATTTTTAATCCCTTTGTTTGAGGTGGAGTCATGGCAACTGAGTAGAACTGAGCATTTACTGGTCAGATGCCCTTCCTGATGCCTAAGTGGAGTTTGCAACAGATATTTTCTCTTTGTGCCCTCATAGAGAAACATCTGCCAGTACCTAGGATTGAACTCTGAAGCTTCCAAGTGGGAGGCGGGCATCTTCAACTCTAAGTCACTGCGCCACTTACTGATAATATACTAAGTAAATGAGAAATCTAAAACGACATAACAATACTACTTTTCCAATATATTACTTATGAAATTATAAAACTTTTAAAAATTTAAAATGACTAAGCTTTAAGCTACTTGTCAACACTAATATTATATATTCAACTAAAATTACAAGGTAACAATACTAGAAATCTAATTATCAATGAAGTTTGAATACAGATTCTATATGTAAAAAAAAAACACATTTTGATGTAGGAATAACAAATCCATGTATTATATTATAACCCAACAATGATTTTTCTGAAATTTAAAGCAACTATGTAATTAATAGCAATATAGTTCTATCACTATTCACTTTTCTTTCTTGACAGTCCTTCAGAAAACAACTCAAAATGTTTACCATTCACAAAAGGAAAAAGAAATTACATAAAAATCTTACCATGGGCCATTCGATGAAACCAATAGTATCCAAAATCTACTCCAATGAAGGTCAAATACCAAGTCCATGATGAATCCCATGGTAGTTCCATCATTCTATAGTTGTTCCACACATAAATATATGCCGATATTTCAACACTTCGAGAAATCACACTGAAATTCAAAAGCAAAAAAGGTACATTAGAGATGTTCAGACTATCATCTTCTGAGTTTTATTTATGACATTTCTGTCAAAAGATCATGGAAGAACTGCGCCCGGAACTAAAACTAGAGCAAATCTGTAATTTAGCAAGCAAAAATGTTTTTAAAAAAGATTAAAAGATTCTGCTCATGATCAACATGGCAGCAAAATCATCAAAAGTTTAAAAAGAATGAGCAATTATTGCACAAATGCTTGGGTCTGAATATGATGTCTGTTTACATGATAACTAAAAAAAATAAAATATAACTGTAATGTGACCACCACATTTTTATCCCAGCAAAAACCCTCAGTGATCAAAGTCTAATATCTCCAAATTACCATTTGAGAAAACCTCAATTTTTCTTAGTTATTATTCCAAATCCCCCAAAGCATTGGAGATGGGAGGAAAAGGAGGGAGGGCATAAGAAGACCCTGTTTCACCCTGGCTGTCATGACCCACCTGTGACTCACTCATAGTTCTCTAACAGCTGGCCTGATTTTCAAACCAAGATATCTGTTTAGCTTCACTTTGGCAGCTGGAGAACCAACAATTTCACACAAGTTTCAATGACAGGTGTACTTGTTCTTTGCTGAAGCAAAACACCTGGAACATGTTTAATCTTTGTAAGAGCCTTACAAAATATTACTAAGGATATTTTTAAAAATGCAATTCACCATATTTTTGCAATTTGTAAATATTACCACAAATCTTAACCCAAATTCTTAATCATTTAGACAACTGGCCAGAAAGGAACTTTAGCTGTTCTAAAGGGACTGGGAAAGAGAGGGGAAAACTCTCTCAATACTATTTTGCCAGGATTTTTTTAAAGACACTTTTGCCTAAAGTAGTATTACTTACTTACCAGCTATTGTCCAAAATACAGTTATGTATACTTAAGACCCAGTGAATCAAGGAAGCTTAAGAGTGCCTGAGTCTACTTGGATCATGGCCATAGGGTATTGTTTTCTCATTTTGGCCTCATTAAGTACTGTAATGTTTTTGCAACATATCCAGACATAGAAGAGATTATTTCTTAAATTGGTCACTGAGCTCTTTCTTTTGCTGGGCTGTAGCTAAAGGTGGATATTAATTCTAAAGTACAGATTTTTCACCTGAAGTTACATAAGTCAAATTTGCATATTTTAAATCAACCACTAGCATACTAACAGGATTATTAATTGGTTAACTTTGTCAAATATGGAAACTAATTTACAACTGCTTTATTTGAGGAGAACATTTACCAAAGTCAAAAGCAACATTTATTTAGTCTAACTGTACTTCTTTAAACCTCCCTTTTCCTTCTTGAGAAAACTAAATAAGAATATTTTTAATCTGAATTTTGCTCTGTAATTGAGCTAATTGCAAATAAATCTTTAATGAACAAGATATACTCTATTTGTTGTCTGACAAATTCTCACTGAAAAACAGTGGGAATATTAATTTATTCATTCTGATTTGGTTTCAAAATTTCTGTCTTCAACAAAAAATCATCAAAAATAACCCCTACATGTGAAAGACCCAATTACATATAAATATGCATTAACTGTTATTAATTTTACAGGGCAACTACTGAAAATATGATCTTATGAATTAATATCAATCAGCCAATTTTAAATATTCAAAAATATGTCAAAAGGTAAATATCTATAGGATAATGAAATTCAAAGATAATTGATGATATCTTAATTTATTTATACATTTCTCATATAATTTATAAAATAATTTTGTGACAATAAATTCTTAATATCTGTTAAATTTTTATATGCATATCAAATACCAAAAGTTAACTGAAATCTGTCTCCCATCCCTCTGCCTATGGCAACTTGGGAGCAGATTAGGGAAGCTTCGTGAGTTGACACTAAACACACAGAAATACTGAAACATATCAAATATGTATTTCCTATAACGAAGACTCCATGAAATAAAGGGAGAAGATGATGTATAGGATGTTTGTCAAACCTCACACTGGAAAAGAAAAACAACTTGCCTTTAATTTAGTCTCTTATATTTTCTGAACAGGTGCCAGTTCATGACCTGACAACTAATTTATTAGTCCATCAACTGATTTATTAGTCTTGAAATGACCCCGACATAGGCAGTGACAAATAATGGTCATAGTTTCTCCCCATTCTGCTTTTACATTTTATTTTAAAGTCAAACAGTCCAGAAGATGCTGGAAAGAGTGAGAAAGAGCTGGGAGTTTTACTCCCTGTCTTCACAGCACTGCAAATACGATTGCTTTCCATTTTTAATATACAAACATAGCTACAAATTGATCTGTTTGCTAAAAGTATCTTGGAAAGATATTAGAATATTTTCCTGTGCTAAGTTCTTAATTACAGGATGTAAAACTAATACTTTAACAACACTTCTTCACCCTGAAAAGTAGTACACCGGAAAAAGCCTAAAATCTCTCTCACATAAAAGAGATAAAATTTCAACACAAACCTAAAATGTCAGCCTAAGTGAAAGTTCAAATATTTTTCCAAGTATCTGTTTTCCTTTCAAATACGTTACATGTGTTTAAGTACAAACAAGAATTCCTAATACCTTATATAATTGACCATATTTTTAAAAAACCAGTTAAAATCATTATGCAATGTTGTATCATATTTATGAAATCTTATTATCCATGATTGTTTATTAATAGCACATTAATCAATGTTAATAGCACATTAATTAATAGCACATTAATTTTCATAGCATTTTACATATTGTAACAATTGTTTCCACTAATTAGAGGGGCATCTAGTATCTAATTTTATTTATTTAATCATTTTATTGACTGTTTCTTTTTTGAAATATTTGGGAAAAATAAATTTTACTGAATACCAAAGTGCACACACTACATTTTGGACTTACATAAAAAGCTAAAATATACGTGTTATTAAAAATACAGTATCTTCAAAGGAAGATTGTTGAGTGAACTTTAGCAGGTTAAACAAATTGTAGTGGAGAAAACCAAATAATTAATGATTAATCAAGACAATCAATGAAAATTTATTGAAATAAACTCAGACATTAAGCTACTTGCAGAAATATAATCTAACCATGAGTATTAAAAGAAACAAGAAATAAAACTACAAACTTTGAAAACTAAAGCACTCCAAAAGCATTTTTTGAAAAATATTGAAGGAAAGTTGGACAGCACCTGAACATAGCATAGGAATGGGAGGTGGAGGAAAAAGAAAGGGTTTTTTTTTTGCTACCCAAGAATAAGCCATATGCACATATGTTAATTGGCCCAAAATAGAAAATACTAGTTGGGTAGTACATGATGAGATGCATGGTGAAACTGTTGACCATTTAATAACTGGATGCAGTAAAATCCAGACTGGTTACAAAAAATAGGCATAACTTGAGTTAGCAAGATATTGCATTAGCATTTATGTAGAAAACCAACTTTACTTTCATATTACTTGCAATATGACTTCATGGAAAGTCACTGAATATAACAGAGCAAAAATGTTATGAGTTCTTACAGTCTAGATTGATTGGTACTTGGAATACAACACATTAATTTTATTGTCACTGAAAAGAACTCTGATTAATTTTTCAATGAAGCCATTCGAAAACATTAAGTTGAAGACAAGCAATATAAAACATTTTGAAAATACTAGTATTTATAAACAGAGATTGCAAACATTTAGGAGACTGTTAATTGTTATTGGATCATAAGGTGTTATCTAACAAGGACTTAAAAAGAATTTGCACTGCCTAAATTTAGAAAAACTAATGATAGACCAACTCCAAACATTAGCACATTTGGCACCTCAAAGATAATTACCACAACAGATAGTCCTTGTTTAGTGATGGCAACCCTGAAAATCCCTAATTTCATCATCAAGTAGGATTGCCTGGTCATTAAGCGAATATCTACCAACTTCCAACAAGCAAGTCAAGTAGGCTGGTCTATGAGTAAATGCCTGCTTCAGCCCAATGCAAATGCTAGGCATAATGGCTGCTGGTGCAGGGAAACTCTCCTATGCTCTACGACCCAACTGTTCTTCACTATCTTCTTCCTCCCATTCCTGACAAGGCAAGCCAAGCCTAGCTAAACCTTTTGTGAAACCACAATTGTCAAAATACAAATGCTGCCGGTATCCTAGCTCCAGCCATCTTTGCCACCCTGAGGTCTAGACAGCAACCTTGCAAGGACTCAAGAATAAAGGCTCATGCAGCCAGCATGTGCACCTGAACCGGTGGTAAAATTAAAAAAAAATACTACCTGTTCTGTGGGTGTGGCTTGATAATATGGCAGGGGAAGGATACTGCAAAATCTCATTCCCTCCCCATCCCACTAGCCTGCTTTCCAGCTCCATTTTCCTGCGCAGGGCAACAAAAGAAGACCCTGCCAATCAGCTGGGAGTTGGGAGGCAGAGAATAGATGGGGGCGGGACTAATCAGAGGTGGTATTTGCCAGTTCTCTGAACTACTCAAAATTTCCGCTACCAGTTCTCCAGAACTGGTCAGAACCTGCTAAATACCACCTCTGACCTGAACAGCAAGGAGAAAGTCAAAAGTCAGTTGCTGTTCTAATGACAAACAGCACAATCCAGTACAAGATTAGTGGCTGGAAAGTACAGAGAAGGGGCAGAGAAGGGGGACAAATAAATAGATAATGGTTGTTTATATTCTGTAATCATGTACATTTTGTAGTCATGCAAGTGACCTGCCAAGTGCCTGATATTTCATCAAGTGACCACAGGGGCACTCCAACAGCTATTACTTCAAGGACCAAGCACTAATATTCTGTTCAGCACTGTTGTAACTTCAAACAATTAACAAACAAATTATTATCAAGCAAGGGATTACAGTTGTAACTTTAAATCTACTTCTACCTGAATAAAAAAGTATTGATATGTGGGATACCAACTGGCAAATTATTTTCAGCTAATTTTAAAAAGTTTTTATTTTAATCTTTGTTGTTCTGGCCTCTAATCACAAAGCTGCATTTGAGATTAAGCCTAA